ATCAGCAGCCTGATGGTGCTTTCAGGCTTCCTAATACCCCAAAATTGCCACTGTGCCTATGGCCAATCCAACAACTTGGGGCCAAGTTTGTCAAGAAATTAAATGGTCAAAATTAGGTCTGTGAGAGTCACACCCACAAACCTTCTGGCTCAGCTATACAAGCCCATTTATTGGCCTTATTTCAGAGACCCCTAAATAAATCTCGAAAGATATCAAAATCTGCAGTTAAGTTCGGATCAAGCATGACTGAACGGACCAGGGTAAGTCGGAGATGGGGGGAGGGGCAGGTTGGCCTGGTGCCCACCCAAGCAGACCCCCAGAAGCCGCTTGTTTCTACAATCCAAAATCACTGCCATCCCCCTGGTCTGACTCCACCATCTCAGGACAGACCTCACCAATACATAATCTGCTGAAAATTTGGATATGCGGGTGAATGAAATCTTCAGCTCTCTTGGGGCTACCTTTCCCACTTCTCAATACTCCTGGAAGCACTGAAGTCATCTCTACGAACCAACTCCACTGCCACCATGTAAGCTCTACTACAAGCCTTGCTTCAGAGACCTATGAATAATTCTTTTTTTTTTTTTATGAATAATTCTTGAAAGAGATCAAAAGCCGCTCTTAATCTTGGACCTGCGCATGGCTGAACAGACCGGGAAAAACTGGAGGGCAGAGGGTTGGCCTGGTGTCTGCCTAACCAGAGTCCCTGACAGATGCTTCCACAATCTAAAATCGCCGCCATATCCCTGGCCTGTCTCCAACTACCTCAGGATGGACCTCACCAAGATATAATTTGCAAAAAAAAAAAAAAAAAAAGGTTCTGTATCTAAAATCTTCAGGCTTTCTCTGAGTTGGGATAGGCCACCTACCCTCACTTCCCAGTACTTCTGGAAGCACTGGCAGTCACCCCCACAAACCAACTCCAGCACAACCCCGTAAGCTCTACTACTGGTCTTGCTGCAGACACCCATAAATAATTCTCGGAAGAGATCAAAAGTCACAATTATTCTTGGACCTGCACAAAGCTGAATACACCGGGACAAACAGAAGGGTGCTGGTTGGCCTGGGGCCCATCCAAGTAGAGTCCCTGGCAGCTGCTCGCTCCCACAATCCAAAATCACTGCCATGTCCCTGGCCCGACTCCACCGTCTGAGAACAGATCTCACCGAGACATAATTTACTGAAAACTCTGGTATGCGAGTTTTATGACTAAAATCTCCAGGTTTTCTCAGGGTCAGGATTAGCTGCTTCCCCCCACCTCCCTGTACTTCCGGAAGCCTTGGAAGCCACATCCACACCCCAAAGCTGCCACCCAACTGAAAAGCTACTCCAGCCTTACCACCCCGACAAAAATACCGAATGCCCTGAACAAACATTATGACTTCTTAGCACCTGTACTGCAAACCATAAAGCAACAAAAGGAAAAGGAGAGAGAACAAGGAAAGTGCCTCCCATAGAGGGAGGCTGGGGGTGGAAAGTAGGGATTTGGGGGATGGTGGTAGGGAAACGGGACATTGGTGATGGGAAATGTACACTGGTGGAGGGAAGGGTACTGGATCACTGTCTAACTGAAACCCAATTATGAACAGTTTTGTAATGGTCTATCTCACATATATTCAATTAAAAAAAAATTTTAAGTAACATAGAGTTCATGCCCAATTCAATCAGCTTAATTAATGGCTGAATAAATAACAGTACTCCTACATTATAAAAAATAATAATAAATAAAAGCTCAGGGCTGGAAAGATAGTACAGTGAGCACAGAATTTGCCTTGGAAAGAAACAACCCAGGGTTGATCCCTGGCATCCATATAGTCCCTAGAGCCTGCCAGAAGTAATTCTTGAGTGCAGAGCCAGGAGTAACCTCCGAGCATTGCTGGGTGTGTGGAGGAATGGAAGAAGAAATAAGAAGGAAGAAGGGGAAAAGAAGGAAGGAGGGGTAAAAGAAGGATGAAAAAGAGGAGGAAGGATGAAGAGGGGGGGAGAAGAAAGGGAGAAAGGAAGAGGAGGAAGGGGAGGAGAGAAGGAGAAGTGAGGAGAAGGAAGAGAAAGAATAAGAAAGGGAAGGAGAGAGGAGGAGAAAAAAGAAAGGAAGAGGAAGAGGAGAAGGAAGAGGAGGGGGAGAAGGAACAGGAGGAGGGAAGAGGAAGAAGAGGAGGAAGAAGAGGAGTAGGAGGAGGAGGAAGAGGAGAAGGAGAAGGAGGAGAAAGAGGAGGAGGTTTGATTCCCCAGGAGCAGTCCCTTGAGCAACATAAGCAGTGTAAGCAGTGACCCCTAAGCACTGAACCACAATAGCCCCTCAGCTTGGCTGGGTGTGATTCCTGCAAAACAATAAATACATAAAAACTTCAACCTTGGGAAAGTTTTTACCTTATCATTTAAAGGAAAATATCATATTGCATTTATCATGTGATTTTCACATGGTAATATACATGGTAATATATAACATGGTAATATTAAACATTCAAAATCTATAAAGTATAGGACATTCAAGTGCATGGAACTTGAATTTAATTAAGTAAATTAAAAAATTGATTGATTATCTCATGAAATTAAAAAATTGATTATCTCATTCCTACTTTGGACAAACTGGCAGGTACCAAATGTAACCTGCCCACACGGCAGAGTCTGGCAAACTCCCCGTGGTGTACCCAACATGCCAAATACCAGTAACAATGATGGGTCTCATTCTCCTAAAGAGCCTTGAATATGGCACTTTCTTAAAAATCTCAGGGCTAGGATGAAAGAGACGTTACTGGAGTCTGCTCGAGGCAATCGACGAATAACAGGATGGTCGTGGTCATGGTAAAAAAATTGACAGAAAGAAATCTTTGGACATGGAGTATAAAATAAAATACTGTGCAGGACTAGAGTGGTAGCACAGCGGTAGGGTGTTTGCCTTGAGCACAGCCAGCCTAGCCGAGCCAGGTTCGCTTCCTCCTCCGCCCCTCTTGGAGAGCCCAGCAAGCTACCGAGAGTATCTAGCTCACACGGCAAAGCCTGGCAAGCTACCAGAGACATATTTAATATGCCAAACACAGTAACAATGAGTCTCAAAAAACGGAGACGTTACTGGGCCCACTCGAGCAAAATTGATGAAAAACGGGAAGACAGTGTTTTGTGCAGAAAAAATCCCACAGAATTTAAAAAAAAAAAAAAGGATCTGTCTACCAATCTCTAATCCACAACCATGAAACACCAAGTCAATTCACATCTGACACTCTAGGCTGTTGATGCAGACTTCTTCATCTTGTCCAGCTCAACTCAATTCTGACCCATATTCAGCATCTCTCTGAAAGATCAGTGTCATAGATACAATTAATCCTCTGTGGAAAACACTTCCATGGCTCCCATTTTCATTAGAATCAAACTGGAATACGAACCTTAGAATAGGGTCAGTATGGTAACTAACTATTAGGGTTCAATACTAGCAGGCCTCAGTATTCACCATCCTGAATATATAGCACTATGGGCCAAGTGATAGTCCCGAGGTACTTGCATGCAGCTGACCCGGGGAACTGCCAAGCTTCACCAGGAGTGATCCCCCAGTGCAGAGTCAGGAACAAGCCCTGATCACCGCCAGATGTGGTCCCAATTCCAAAATTAATAATAATAAATATGCTTGTGTGCTTTGCTCCTGCTAATCTTTCTCAATTTAATTTCCAGACCCGGCCAAGACCCCAAGAGGGTTCGTGTATATGTCTTTCTCCTCTGCAAGTCCCATGGTTAGCTTAACTCTCCTTCCACTCCACTATAATCTGGAAACAAACTATGCTAAGATATGAGCATATACTCCCTCAAGTCCAGATATTTGTGTATGCTGTTTTTTCCCAGAGTCTCTCTGCTTACATGGACACTTCTTATGCATTATTTTATCTTCTAAAGAACATCCTTTTAGATTGTTAGATGTCACTGCAATGTATTTCTATAATGAAATTTCAATAATATCAAATTCATATAAAACTATCAATGACCAAGACAATTGAACTGATTCAAAGTTGGAGAGCACATGACTGGCATGTATAGGACCAAGTTTGACTCATGGCACCATAGACCCCTACTCCAAGTATTACCAGGCACTAAACCATCAAGTCTGCAGCCCAAAGCAGAGTATTTCCAAGGAGGCCCTTGACAGCATTATTCTATTAAAAACCACAGAAAGTTAAAAAATTACTAAACTGATGAAATGTGTGTAAAAAATACAAGAAAAGAATCTGAAATGCAACACAGTGACTTAGCTTTGTCCTGCACCTAGAACTGTAGCACTGTAGCATAGGAGTTGTCCATCAATTTGCTCGAGCGGGCCCAGTAACTTTGTGAGACTTGTTACTGTGTTTGGCATATCGAATATGTCACGGGTAGCTTGCCAGGCTTTGCCATGCAGGCGAGATATTCTTGGTAGCTTGCTGGGCTCTCCAAGAGGGGCGGAGGAATCGAACCCAGGTCAGCCGGGTTGGCTGCTTGCAAGGCAAATGCCCTACCCTGTTACTATGAAACTTCATGCTCCTTTATTGTTTGAATAGTTAGAGAAGAAACCAAGGTCTTTCTTAGGTTGTAGATTTTCTGCTCTTTGAGCGTTTGTTTCTTTCCTTACCATTGCTAACCAGTTACCGCAATAAAAACGGGAGACAAGAAAGAAGTGAGATAGAATAATTGTTAAGAAGCATTACTGAGCACTTTTGGAGAGTTTGAATCCTAGGAGGAAAATAAACAAAAAAACATGTCTCATAATTCTTTCTTACATAAAGCTCAGCTAAAATAAGGAAATTACACACTGTGTAAGAAGAAATGCACACTGCTGCTCTGTATAAGCACATCTGTTTCAGTGAACTAAGTGTAGTATGTTTCCGTTAACTAGCAACCACTTTGGCACTGAAGTGCGAATGCTGCTTTTAATAGGACATTTGGTTCCTTAATAGATTCAGGACATTTGGTTACTTAGTAGATTGTTTTAAACAGAAAGAAAAGAAAACTTCTGAAAAATAAATATCATGAATTACCTGTTCGTAATAATGGATATTCTCCTCCGCCATGTCTGTAAATGCTGACTTGATATCATTTTGCATATTTCGTTTCCATCTTTCCCAATCTGCCTTCAGAGCATTATTGGCACATTCCACTTTATCTTCAAGTTTTCCAATCTCTTCTGTAAGCTGAATTTAATCACAAAGAGGAATATATTGATATATATTGTATTCTTGCTACCACTCGAACTCAAAGTATTTTAGCCAAACTTTCTATCAAAATTCTTAAGAATTATTCTTTATTTACAGAAAGATCATCAGTGTTTACTATGTGTACCAAGTAATGAAAAGAAGAAAAACACTAAATTCAGTCAGGATGTTGGAGTTCCAGCGTCTGTAACCAATTTGCACTTGGCTAACTTTTTCAAACCCTTGGCTTTAGATTCACTGTTTATAAAACAAAGGAAAATTCAACTACAGATTATTTTGAAATTCTTTTGTAATATTACATAACCAATATTGTTTGTGATATATATTCAAAGATATGGTTATGTGACAGTCGTCTTGAACTGTTTTAAAGAATGCTCAATTAACTAAGATACTGTAATACCCATTCAATCTATGTAGTTGAACTTGAAGCCCAGAGAGTTATCTTGCAAAATTTTAGCCAGATACCTGAGACTAGAGAAAGGTTTTATCTCAAAACATGTGAGACATAGTCCATATGCTACAAAATAGGCTTGGTGTAATATATTTATACTATTAAATAGAACTTCACCTGACCAAGAGACCTTTGAATATAGAACCCATCAATTTGTTTTGTATTTTACATATTAATGCTCATATAAATGTTAATAGATACATGACCTTATATACAGTTATTCAAATATTTATTAAATGTCTTCTCTAACCCAGGTATTCCAGAATTAGGAGATTCTTAAGTAAAGACAGCAGGCCAAACTTTCTGTTCTTATAAGAGCCTATATTCTATTGAGACAAACCCTCATAGGCAGAAAAAATACTAATTATCCACTGAAAACAAATATTTTAAAAAATGAAGAAGAAATAACAATAGGGATGTTGAGCAAGATGCAATTTTAGATGGTTACTAGATAGAACTGAAAGAAGCGCCATTTTCATCAATATCTGAGGTAGTCCCAAGGGATTATTGGTAAAAAAGGAAGCATTCCTGAGGAAAAAAATGCAACAGGTTCAAGGTAGGATCATGCCTGGTAGTCCAAGGTAGTTTACAGACCTTTAAAAAGGGGCGGGGGGCCAGAGCAATAGTGAGGCGGGCAGGCACTAGTCTTGCACATTGCCAACCTGCGTGTTAAGGGAGAGAGGAAGGAGAGATGTCTCAGGAAAGACCACTGGGTTAGACAGAAAGTTAACCAGAGTGCAGGTTTAACCAAATCTGACTCAATCATGCAACCTATGGCAAAGTTCATGTACTTATTAATGAGATTCTGTGAAAAGACTTCAATGCCAGAAAGATCTGAACAGAAATGACAGTATCTCTCCGGTTTTAAAAAGGTCATGTGTGGGGCTAGAGTGATAGCATAGCGGGTGGGGCATCTGCCTTGCACGCGGCCGACCTGGGTTCAATTCCCAGCATCCCGTATGGTTCCCTGAGCACCACCAGGAGTAATTCCTGAGTGCAGAGCCAGGAGTAACCCCTGTGCATCGCTGGGTGTGACCCCCCGCAAAAATGAAAATAAAAATAAAAAGGGTAATCACTTATGGCTGCTCGCTAGTAAATTAAGAAAATAACAGTTTATTCCTGCTTTCTACAGGACTTTATACTTTTTTTCAATAATGAGTTAACACTTATTTGTATTCATTGTATTATATGAATGTCCTGTGACATTTCAGGTGATTTTACATCCGTGGAGATTTTTATCACAATCTTTACTTTTATTAATGCAGACCCTTCAGCATTATCTATAATACAGTATTTTCTAATCCAAAGCCAATTTCCTTTTTTTTTTTTTAATAATAAAAGCAAGCAGCTTTTATCAAAGGGAAAATAACAGAAGATATTAAAGGGACCATTTTACCTAGGTAATAGCTCAAGGAAGACTGGAGTGCATGCTCTGAGGATGGGACTTCCTTCCTATTTCAACCTCAGGCATGGCATAGTCCTTTGGAAAACAACCTGGAGTGATCCCTAAGCACTAACCCAGAAATAGTAGCTCCTGGGCACCACTGGGTATGGCCCTAAACCAAATTATAATAAATATATAATAATAACAACAATAATTATAAAAGGGTTGTGGGTAAAAAAAATGATACTTTCCCCAGCCTTCTGGTCAGGAATCTAAGTAGTGTCGAGCTTGGTTTTGTTCAGTAAACAAAATCCAGGAAGACAACAGAAACATTTTAGTGTAGGTGCTGGCCCCCGTCTTTGTGCTACGTACACAGTTTTTGTGCATCTCCTAACATCCCAATCTTTATCACAGTTTTATCCAGATTTTATTTTTGTCCAGCCTTTTCCTGGATGGCGTGGCTATCTATACCTCTATCTCTATCTCTATCTCTACCTATCTATATCTATATCTATACCTATCTATATCTATACCTCTATCTATAACTCTCCTCTGGACAAAGTCCCAGTGTGGGTAAGGTACAGAACCATTGTCATTATGGTAAATGAACCATTCCACTATTCCACTAGCTTCACAGGCTCAACCTGCTCCCCCACTTCTAATCCTCCAACTAATCCTGCTTGTTGCTTTCAAAGAAAACAACATCAAATCCAGGTTTCTAACCCCAGGCCTTTGAGTGCTTGGAAATTGGAAATCATTATGCTGGAACTCTCCAAGATCAAGGAGTCATTATATATCATCACTATTGTGTGACTTACGTGTGACAGAAAATATATGAATGAGAAGTATCCTGATTTGAGAGATGTTAAATGTGAAAATCTATGTCTCAGCATCAATAAAAAGTTACTGTGCTTCCCATAGGTATTTGAGCTTCTTTTTTCCCATGTGGAAATCTACCACTCTATCCTTGTTTCATCAGCCCCATGTGCTTTTGATTCCCCAAGAATAAATATTTGGTACCATACCAATATTTTGTATTGCCAATGGGGACAGCACAGCAGGTAGGACGTTTGCCTTGCATGCAGCCAACATGGCCGAACCGAGTTCGATTCTTCTGCCCCCTCTCGGAGAGTCCGGCAAGCTACCGAAAGTATCTTGCCCGCACAGCAAAGCCTGGCAAGCTACCTGTGACGTATTCGATATGCCAAACACAGTAACAACCAAGTCTCACAATGGAGACGTTACTGGGCCCACTTGAGAAAATCAATGAACAATGGGAGGACAGTGACAGTTCTTATTTTACTTTCAAACAGTTGTGTAGGGAGATTGGAGATTTGGGGGGAGGGGGGAGATGCTATAATGCTTGCTTACGGGAGAAAAACAGTATTTAACCTAAAATAGTTCAAAAGGCATGAGGACTTACAAACACAGGACCTTGGAAGGAACCAGAAAAGAAGATGCAGATGATAGTCACCAGCACAAAGGGCACTCGAGAAAAATTCAAAGGCCATCTACACTCTCCAGTTTGGCAACCATCCTAGCAACACACCTTGGGGGGAGGGGGTAGTCTGAGAAAACTGCACTCTATGTAAACTAACCCTTGAGAGGAAAGGGCACGCACCTCTCAATGAAGTGTCCACTCTCCTACTCTAGGGGTGATTTCCACATTCTCAGGAACTCGCCTGCATCCCCGCCTATGTTGTGTACTTTCTTTATTACATGTAATCTCAGTATCTTAGGAATTTAGATTGGTGTTTTTTGGTTTTTTTTTTTTTTTTTATTTGCTTTTTGGGTCACACCCGGAGATGCTCAGGGCTTGTGGCTATGCACTCAGGAATTACTCCTGGCGGTCATCCAGGGGCCATATGGGATGCTGGGAATCAAATCCGGGTCGGCCATGTGCAAGGCAAATGTCCTACCTGCTGTATTATTGCTGCAGTCCCCAAATCTGAGGAATCTGAAGCAGATCTACTTGGGATGTTCATTTTGTGTTTTGTTCCTTTTACCAGCAGAACATGGGGACTGAGTCTGGCAACAGGCTAGACTGACCTCAGTTAAGGGACAATTATCTTTTCCAAACGACATAACGATGGGTAAAACTAAAGAACTTGCTTCTTTCCTCCGCACACACCCTCACTTTCCCTATGTTGGTGTTTCTACGATGACCTGGGGTGCAGCACATGCTTTTTTGTAGTAGTCACACAAAAGGTTGTGGTGCTCACACACATGTGATGAGAGGATTACACTCCTGGACAAAGTGCTCACCCATCTTTCTTGCAGTTGCAGTACTCCAAGAGAATCATTCCCTTTTAGACGCCGTGCTCACACACTCCGACCTGGCTGCAGTGCAAACTGAAACAACCACAGTATCAGGGATCACAAGCAACAGAGTTGCCAGGATCACACTTGACACTTTCAAGTAACTCACAATCTTAGGCTTGTCCAGTGGCTACTTTTGCCACTGAACCAACTCCTGGCCCCCACACCTCTAGTTTCCCTATCCTTAAAATGAATATGAATCTGCACATCTCATTGAGATTTTAGTGAAAATTGTATGAGACACTCAACATTAACTGTATTGTATGGTGCCGGATTTTATCCCAAGAACTACCAGAAACATCATTAGTTTGTGAACTGAAGCTCACAGCCTCTCTTCCAGTATTTTGGTTTCTGGGATCTTTCCATTTTTCCTGGACCTAGGGGCCAAGTTGATGTCTAGTACCATTTCTAATGTTTTATTTGTTTCTGGGCTACACTGGCAGTACCAGGCCTTAACACTGGCTCAGGGGTCACTCCTGGGTACCACATGTGGTACTGGTATTGAAAAAGAATTGAATGCATGCAAGGTGAGTGCCTACATCTCTACACTGTCTTTCTGGCCCATCTAGTACTACTTCTTAGTAAATTATCTGTGGAGAAATGAATGGATATTATTTATATTAATCATTTATTATTTTTATCACTATACCCTTTGCTTTCTTTGATGGTATCATCATTATTTTAATTTGGAAAGGATGAAATATACAGTAGTCATTTCCCCATACTGAATGCTTTCTTCCAATAATTTTAATTCAAAGAAACTGATAAAAAAACATTTGCAGTCAGAATATTTAATATATCTTCTAACAATGTATTAAGGAAAAT